GCAGGAAGAGCAGAGCCCTGCAGGTCTGTGCTGGGAGAGCTGTTTGCACAGGGCTTCAGCCAGGAGGGAGGATGGATGGGGCTCCTCGTGTCTGATCCTGGCTCCGGGTGGGGATGTTGTGCCGGCAGAGGGAGCGGGGTGTGCACGGCTGGGGGAGCTCCGGGCTGTAACTGCACGGGGGTGTTGCATCAGGCTGGTATTTTTAGGAGACAGTGATTCCCCAGCCACTTGTAGAGCAGCCACTTTGCTGAGCAGAAAGGAGGAGATTGTTCCAGGGGATCACGTGGGGTGCGTTGCATAAGGACGTTACCAGGGCGGGCTCACCTCTCGGCGTTCCCGTGGCCCCGGGGTGGCCTGGGTGGCACAGGAGGGACCATCCTCGGGACACTGGCAGCCAGTGCCACGCTGGGGACAAGTGGCTCGTGGCTGAGGGCTCCTGGAGCTGGAGGAATCCTTGGCTGGGCTCGGCAGGGCCTCGCAGCTCCGCTCCCAGGGGTTTATCCCTGGCTTTGCAGGATTGTGACAGGGACAGTGTCCTGGGGGAAGGATCTCCCGGCTTAGCCGAGGGGTTATTTTGAGCTGCTGCTCTGGGCTCTGGTGCTGAATTATCCCAGGGATATCCCTTCCACTCACTGATAAAATCTGGTCCAGCTGGAGAAGTCTTCCCGTGCTTCTTTTTTTAGTGGAAACTGCTCCGTGTCTTTGATCATCCCTGAACTCCTCAGCACGTTTTCCAGTTCTCCTCCTTGGTGGGATGCAGAGGAAGGGGAGGAGTGCCTGGTGCTGTGTGTGGCACTTAGCACAGATCTCCATACCCATCCCATTCCATCCCTAACAGTTCCTAACTCTCAGTTTCCTTTGTCTTAACTGCATCAGGCCACACTTTCTGGGAATTAAGGATCCCAGGACATTGTTTTCCCCGTGTGCATCACCCCCAGTTCCCTGGATTTGAGCTTCCCAAGGTACTTGGTGTGGGGTTGTTTCTCCCAGCTCTCCAGTCAGCTGGACTTTGTGCAGGAGGAACAGGAAACTCAAAGGGTTGCTTATCTCAACACTTCACCTCTTTTCCAGGGAAACTGAGTCTCCCACGCTCCAGTTCCCTCTGGGAGTGCGGATTGCCCTCCCGCTGGTAAATCAGACACTGCTCGCGATCCACGCAGCAGGAACAACACTGCAGGGGTCTTCAGGGACTGAACAGTGGTGGGTTGGTTGACCTGACTGATAGAGAGGTTCACAGTAAAACATGTTGGGTGGGAAGTGCTGAGCTGGGTGAGTTTTGGGATCGAGTGAAGGAATTGCCGCATTGGAATCAGCTCCGTGCTTGCCAGGGGACGCTGGAGGAGGTTTAGAGGCGTTTGGAAAAGTCTTTTCTAAAGGGTGTTCTGACAACCCTTGTTTAAAGTCTGTGCATTTGCATTTAATCCTTTTCTGTTTTTGTGACAAATCCCAAACTTCTGTGTTCCATGGCCCTTCACATGGAACATCCTGTCACCTCATCCACACCAACAAGTTGTTGTCTGGTGCTGCTGGGAGCGTTTCAGGGGGAAGAAAGGACATTGGATAGAAACCACATTCCATGAATGACTCTTCCAAGGCAAGAGTTCAGCTGAGGTTCTTCTCTCGCGGCAGAAAAGTTAAAAAAATGTCCTGAAAACAGGTTTGGAAGCTGATTCTGGATGCCAGCCCCTGTTTTGGAGCAGATAACATTATCTGGGATGTAGAGATTATTGAAGTGTTCTCTTTGAACCTGTTGTTGCTGCTCAAGCATTTTAAGATATGGTTAATAACTTGTAAAATGAGTGAAATACCACTTGTAAAACGGGGTCTGTTTCAGGCAGCCTCTGGATTTTCAAACTCAAAACATAAATGAACGTTGTAGAGGGGGGAAAACAGGCACAGAGGTGAGAATTGAGGGAGTTTGCACATTTTGGGTGTTGAAATCAGGTTCAAAAACCTGTTTCAGACTTTCACAGCTGGCTTAGCCACAGAGCTGGAATGGAGGGAAGGCAACCTCCTAATTTATGGAGGAGTTTCTCCTTCTCGAATATGAAGAGTAACCTTTCCGTGCAGAACCATCCACTGGAGCCTGGTTCCTCAGGAGCAGTGCTGGGATTAACCCCTTCCCCACAGCAGCCCTGCAGGGTTGGGCATGGCTGGGATTTTCCCATAGGAAGTGCTCTGTTCCCCCGTGACCTCCCTGTCCTCTGGCAGCACAAAGCCCGTTATTCTTCCCATGGGAACGCGAGGGGAGAGCAGGACCTTGGTGTTAGAGCCCATTGTGCAGTGGTTCTGAGCAGGGAGGTTTGTCCTGAGCCTGCCTCTTGTTTTCCCACCTCTGAAACCCTCACGGGAACGTTCCATCCCTGGCTGGGCCAGAACCCACACTTGCTGAGGAGATGGAGAGCTGGGCTCCCGAGGGCTCTGCCTCCCTTCCTTCCCCTTCTCCCCTTTGCTGCTGGTGGGATTTGGGAGCCCCGTGGCAGCTGGCACAGTCAGGGATCATCACTTGGTGGGATTTGGGAGCCCCGTGGCAGCTGACACGGTCAGGGATCATCACTTGGTGGGGTTTGGGGGCTCCATGGCAGCTGACACGGTCAGGGATCATCACTTGGTGGGGTTTGGGGGCTCCATGGCAGCTGACACGGTCAGGGATCATCACTTGGTGGGGTTTGGGGGCTCCATGGCAGCTGACACGGTCAGGGATCCCTCTGAGCATCTCAAAGCCCTGAAGCCCCTCCAGGAAAGGGCAGGAAGATCCAGGTTTTGCTGGTGGGAGTGATCTGACATCTGGCTGTTCTCATCTCCAGGGAATCTGCTTTCCCACGTTTTGGGGTATCTGTGGTGCTGAGTTCCAGCATTCCTGTGAAATCCCCGGGGTGCTGAGGGCTCAGGAAGGTTGGAACCGTTTGCAGGTTGAGGGGAGGCCATGGATCATGGATTCCTCTGCTCTGTGTGCTGGGAATAGCCCAGGACTGTGTGAAACGCCTGTAAGTCAGTCCCTGGGGGTGTGAGCACGTCCTGTGTGCTGGGAGGGAGGTGGCACATGGATATGAACACTGTCCTGTTTGGACCCTCCATTCCTGGCTCTGGGTCCGAGCTGGAGCGCAGAGAAGGTTTCCTCATTCCCAGGGTGAATTGGAACTGCTCTGGTGATCTTGTCTCTGTCTTGGCAGGAAAGCTCCTCAGATGCCCTGTGCTGCAGGGCTGAGCTGTTCCCCTCCTGGGGGAGAGGCAGGCCAGGCCTTGGATGTGACGATCCCACGGGATATTGGTGGGGGCTCTGAGGGGCAGAGGGACCTTGTTGTGTCCATTCCTGCTTTACAAAGCTCAGTGTGTTGTAGATGGAAAATGCTGGGTTAAAATTCCCGTTGGAAGTTTAATTTTAGGCTACATGATGGGGCAAGAAATTACTACAGAACAGGGGTTTATTTATTTTTCCTTATTCCCCCCCCTCCACTCTTCACTAGCCCAATTGTGTGGTTTTAGGACACCTCTGCCAAGAATTCCAGAATGTTTTATGGAAAACTGAGGAGTAAATATAATTAAACCCCCAAGATCCTGTGTATTATATGGTGAGAAGTTTTCTGTCTTTGGCAGTTTCTCCTCGAAGCTCAGAGTGGGCTCTGAGCTGTTCCCAGTGTCCAGGGAGGCTCCTGGGAAGGCTTTAATAGGCTTTCAGGCAGAAATGTAAAGAATTTGGAACATGTAACTATTGTTGGGTGAGATAAAAGCTTTTGTCTTGGGAAAAGTAGCAAGTTGGAGTTGATTTTATTTTTTCCCCCTGCAAGAAGGAGTTCTACATTTGTTTGTTGTGCTGGTCAGTCTTGGTTGGTGTAAGGGGGGAGCCAGGAAGGAATCAGGCTCTGCTCCCAAGAAACAAGGGACAGGAGGAGAGGAAAGGTCAGCTTGGACACCAGAAGGAATTTCCCCCTGGAAAGGGTGGTCAGGCCTTGGCAGGGGCTGCCCAGGGGGGTTTGGAGTGCCCAGCCCTGGAGGTGTCCAGGGAAGGCCTGGCTGTGGCACTCAGTGCTCTGGGCTGGGGGGACAGGGTGGAGATGGGGCACAGGTTGGACTTGATGGTCTGGGAGCTCTTTTCCAGCCTCAGTGATCCTGGGATTTTGTGGGGGGTGTTCATGTCTTGCCCCTGTATTGAACCAGCAATGCCACCTGTGGTGCTGCAGGGTGGGAACATCCCAATGTCCTCCTGCTCCCAGGCAGATCTGCCTCAGCTTTGCAGTCCTGCCAGAGGGGAGAGATCCCCTGAGTGGATCCTCCCTGTCCTGCAGTCAGAGGGTTTACTTTGGGTTAGATATGTCTGTTTGCAGAAGTGACCTGGAGCAGGAGCAGTTCCTGCCCTTCACCCCTACGAGCTCTGTAGAGCCAAGAGAGGGGCCAGAGTTCAGTGAGCAATCCCCAAAAAGGTAATAGGGAATTTATTAGCCTAGGAACGCTTCAGCTTTTCTCACTGAATGCTGCTGTTTCACAGCAGGTGAAGTGAGTAGATACCAAGTTTTCCTCCCTGCAATTAGCAGAAGTTGTTCCCAGTGTCACGACGCTCCCCAGAGTGGCTCTTGGCAGCTCAGGCTGGGTGAGGAGCCACTACTGATTTATTGTTTTGCCACAGGAGCAGCAAATCTGTGTTGTTCCCGAGTTCCTCATGGAACAGGGATGGTCCAGTCCTGACAGGGAGGTTGGACCTGCTCGGTCATTTCATAGAATCACAGAGTTCCAGAATGGTTTGGGTTTTGGGAGGGACCTCAAAGCTCATCTCATTCCACCCCCTGCCATGGGCAGGGACACCTTCCACCAGCCCAGGGTGCTCCAAGCCCCGTCCAACCCGGCCTGGGACACTCCCAGGGCTGGGGCAGCCACAGCTCCTCTGGGCACCCTGAGCCTGCCCACCCTCCCAGGCAGGAATTCCTTCCTCAGCTCCCAAGACCTTTCCAAAGCAAGCTGACAGTTTGTTTTCCCCTGTTCCCCTCTCTTTATCTCACAGCCTCCCCCGGTGCCCCCCACCCCGCAGAGCTCCCTGCGGAGCTGCCAGCGCTGCAGTGCCCGGGATGGCAGCGAGGTGACGGCGGCCGAGGATGACCCTGACGGAGCGGCTGCGCCTCAGGATCTCGGGGGCCTTCTACAGCCACGGGCTGCTCTGTGCCTCCTACCCCATCCCCATCATCCTCTTCACTGCCCTCTGCATCCTGGCCTGCTGGTGAGTCACGTGCCCTTGGGGGGGTTTCTTGGCAATGCTTACCCTTCCAGGCTGCCCCAAAAGCTGTTTTTTATTTAAACTTCGTGGGTTTGTGCCTTTCCTTTTGTGGGACAAAGGGAACAGCGAGGATGAGGTGTCTTCATCTGGTTTAATAAGTAGAAACTAAGTGAGCTAAAGCAGTAAATGAGACGTAAGCAAGCAGCTGGTGGTGGCCTCCAAGCCCATGAATTAAAAATGGGGAGGAGGAAAGCTGATCTTTCTCTGCCCTGCTCTCCCCGGGGTTTGCACTCGTGTTTCACCCTTGGCACACGCGTGTTGTTCATTCCCTGCTCTCCTCATGGACCCTCACTCGGATGCAGCAGTTGGAGCTGGATAAATCTCTCTCAGGAATGTCCCACGGAACCATTTCAGTGGGGTTGAGCAACCCCTTGTGCTCAGGCCTGGGCACACGTGTGTGTGTGTATGTCCAGAGTCTGTCTTCGAATTTCCAGCTCCAGGTCTGTTTTGGTCAAAATACTCCCAAAGTGATGATTTTCTCCTCTGCTTTTGGAAAAGCTCTGCCTGTGCTGGCACAGCTGCAGGTTTGCCTTTGAGCTGGGATGGTGCCTGGGGCTGCTCTGACACCAGTTAAAGGATCATCAGAGGGACCACTTCCCTGTATTGAAACCCCCCTGAGGTGGCTTCTCCTGGCTGAGGCCCTTTGTGGGTATGAGCAGCAGTCAGGGTGTTGCTTCCTGGTTTTTCACTGCTCCACAAGAACCCTTGGAAGTGTCAGGGACAGTTTTATTCTCAGATCCCTTGCTCTGTGGAACATGAAGCTTCTACAAGTCCCAATCAAGTGGATCCTGCCCTTTCTTTGTCTTGGATAAGGTTCTGGGTACCAGCTCTGGTGGCATTTTTGCACCTGACAGCTGCAGCCAGCAAAGCCAAACCCGAGTTCCAGCTGTGTCCTGAGCCACGGTTTCACCTCATTCCAGCTTGGGAATGGCTTCCCAGAGCTGCTGGTGGCCCCAGGCTCCGCTGTTCAGCTCTGCCAGGTGCTCCAGATTCAGGAATGCAGGACCACTGCTGCAGAGGGGATGTTCACCCACAGATGTTGTGTTTTGGGAGGGGTCCAAACAAAACCTCCATGCTTATTCCTCTTCCTTAATTCAGGATTTCCCGGACAGGAAGTCTGATAGGGGTCACCAGCAGCTGTCCTTGTTCTTGGGGACCCGGGTCCCACGTGGCCAGGCCTTGTGCCTGCCCAGTCAACGTTCAGAGCGGGCAGTGGAGGTGTTCCCACCACACCTCTGAGGCTCCAGGCCAGGTGGCCTGTGGTAGCTGTGGGTTTTGGCAGTGTCTGCATTCCCAAGTGCCAATATTTGAGGATTCTGCAGTGCCTGGTTACCTCCAGGCTGCAGAAACTCGTCCAAGACACCATCAGGCGTGAAGGGAAGAGTCTGTTTTCTTTAACAAGTTCCAGAAGCTTGTTAGCAAAGCAGAAAATGGCCCTGGGAGGGACAGGGGTTAAAAACACTCCTGGAGAGCGAGAGAACCTCGGCAAGAAACTCAAGTGTCACCAAGGTGCTCCCTCTGTAGAAGCCATTTTTGGGGGTGTTTCAGTTCCTGTTCTGCGTTAACTGCTGGTAGCTGGGTGTTAATTCTGGCTGGAGAAGTGGCTTTGCTAATTAGGTCAGACCTGTTCTGAAGTGGGGCCCTTCCAGCCCTGAGCACGTCAGTGTGGGGAGAGTGAGCTCTGACTGGGTGTCTCTGCACAGCACACTGAGAGGCTTGTGCAAAGCTGAGTTTGGGGCTTGAGGGCTTCAAGTCTTCCTCTTGGGATGAGCCTGAGGTCTGGCTCAGGCACTGCTGATGGTGCCACAAACTTCATCTGTCTCCTATAGGTTTTATTTCCTGTATTAGGAAGAGATTCCTGGCTGGGAGGGTGGGCAGGCCCTGGCACAGGTCGCCCAGGGAAGCTGTGGCTGCCCCTGGATCCCTGGAAGTGTCCAAGGGTGCTGCTGATTTATCAAGGGGT